AAATGAACGTATAAGTTTATTTGAACTCTTTTCTTCAAAGCCTTCAACACGTAAAATAGGAAGAAAAAATACTACTCCCTGCTGGTGAGGCATCAACGGAATCGTTTTACATTAGCAAATGGCTACGGGTTAAAGTTGTAAACCTTTTTCTCTCTTTCAGGGGTTCGTAAAAGTTTCCAGATTCTTAGGGTTTCATCAACTAGAGTACATGAACAGTGCAGCCAACTCGACCCTGCATCAGAAACATGATTGAGTATATTTAATTATGTACGATGCGCAGCTATAGAAATCTCTTTTCATATTAATTTTGTGATAATGAGAAGAGTAATAGTTCAACCTGCAGGATATAATGAATTTAAGATGCATATCGTGTAAGCATTGGCATTCTCACCATTGATGTGAAGACATTGTGTTGTTGAGCAGGTGGAGTTGGAAAAACAAATAGTAGTAGATGATGTCTCTCATATATAGAGAAGATTATAATTTCCTTGTAAAGTCTAGGACAAACAATAGTGTTGATGTCAGCTTTCGGAGTGATATGTATTAATTCTTTTCTTCTTATAACTTCTTAAACTACTTCAACGGCATTACATTAAATAATAGAAGTAGGCGATTATTAAACTTGTTACAAACCTATAATGTGGTAGCCTTGAGAAGTAGACGCCTGTGAGACTTGTATCTGTCAACATTGCAAGTCACAAGAAATTCTATATCTTTCATATACTCAACTTTATTTTATGAATGCAAAACTGTAAGATCCCTTTTCATATGTAACATGAAAGAGGCTGCTAAAATATGTAACCCTTTTATTCCTTGATAAAGTAAACTTTCAGAGTTTTAAGTGAAGAAATAAATACGTAACATCAACTACCATTCAAAATGCTGATGGTATACACCAAACAAAAAATAATATCATCCAGATACAGAAAGTTTAATTGGAAATAATGGTAAAGGGAAAAAGTACTCAGTACTCTCAACATAGTCTTTAAAAATGTTGAAAACTATTTTAAGAATAAATATAGAAACCACATATTTCTATTTTTTTGGTTTTTTCGCTGAATTCTCTGGGGCTGCTTCTTCTCCTGGCAGAGAATGCACAATGTCTTCATGTTATATCTGGGCCTGGCCCTATCATACCCTCCCCCATGTCCCACACCCTTGCAAAGACCAAAGGATGCACGTTCAAACATTATGATCCATTTTAGTGCGAATTCCGAGTCCTTCAACCCGAGCGGCAAGAATAACTTTGGGCCAAAGGGTTCCACAAACCGACTCCCACTCCGTCCAACCCAACCCTAAATATCCAAATCCCCTTTCCATTTAATTCATTTCAAAATAAAATTTTTATTACTCTTATTTTAGCCCCTGGCTGAAAATAAGAGTGTGTAAACCAAAACCTTTTGTTTGTTGTTATTTTCCTTCTTTTAAGCCTTTTAATAAACAAATAAAACCTTCTCTCCCTTCCTCTAAATCCCTGGCCAAATATCCCTCACAATCCCAACAC